AGCCCATTGCAGTTGGATGGATCTGGTTCAACCTCGAGGTCGAAGTAGAGATCTTAATACTTGTAATACCCTTGTATCACTCTTCTTTATGTATGTTTTTCAATCAAGATTGTATGTTAAATACTAGTTACCTAGTGTGTAATATTCCTTTTTGTTCAGATTTTCTATGTGACAAATCTTCCTCTCTTTGAATGCATTCATAAACATTTCAACGGTTCTGAGCAGTTAGCTCGATAAGAAACATTGCAATCAGCATTTTTCAAAGCATCAAAGGCTTGCCTCAAGTGAACCATTAATCCAAACCCCAAAGTTTATGCTTTTTCTTCGTCAATATAAATATATGAAGATAAATGTAAATTAATTATAAAAGTGTCATTAAATTTTTGATTAAGTAGAATACAACCATAATGTCCAGAAAACCAAAAAACCCACTAACAGAAGTACAAAGTTTGATTTCAAGTCATTCAGAACAAAGAAGCATAATAGTCAAGACTAAACAAAAAATAGAAAAGAAAGCTCTCAAAGTAAAACTTTAAATTAAATTCGACAGCCGGAGCAAGGTGGATGACACCAATGACGCACCAAGAATTGGGAAACGGTGAAATACAGGGGTGGAGGGAAACAATGACACTACGAAAAAAGTTCCCAGATATGCTTATTCATTCCCATGAGGGTCTAGTCTCTCTTGCAATATCGTCTTTGATCCACTTTTGAATCGGTTTGACAATAAAGAGGTACTGTCACAAGAATTGAGGAGAATCACAACTTGTGCGCAATTAATTTTCCCGTCAAGTGTAAGAGTGTTAACTTTGAAATGTTACCTCGAATAATAAGATGAGAGGGATAAATAACTTCCCCCTATCATTAGCATTTGGCCCTTCAATCAACTTCTTGTCAACAACAACACTCTTGCTCCCATTTAAGGCGATGTCTGTAATTGTATGAACCAAATTGGGAATCCAAGGAAGCCCAGTTGTGAGGATCTACAAGTCGGACAGATAATCTCAGAGTTCAACATAAATATCGAGGGTCAACTAAGTGTGAGAAGGATATCAAATACCATATAGAAACAAACCAACCTTCTCATCATTTTCATTCTTGTTGCATCTCCCACTGTTCTCAACCAAAGCAACGGGAATAGGAAAATCCTAACAGAAGCAAAAAATATATATATTATTGGAGATTCATAAAAATCCAGTAACATCTCTATATCAATTTCGATTGAGATAAAAGTGCTAAAATTGAATATAGAATCTGAGATAAGGTAAAGCGATCTGGACAGTAAGATTGAAGAAAGCTAACCAACTGTTTCAAATTTTAGATACCCGGGCTTTGATTATTTCCTCAGTTGTTACTGTCCAATTTTAACAAATCCAGATCTCGATAACATATTCAGGTATTCACTAGCTATGCTTGTGGAAAGTTTTTTTTTTTTTTTTTTTTTTTTTTTTA